AGAATTTGGTTTATTGATGTTACTAAACCGAATGGTTGGTGTCCGAAATAAATATAGAGAAGTTGATGAAGGAAAGAGAAGGGATTTGTGGTTGTGTTTGTGTTTGTATTTAGTCTTAGAGAAAACAAAGTGGTGGGGTCAAAGGTGAAGTAGAGAGAGTGATAAGAAGACGATGAAGTGACGATGAAGTGCGATACTGGTGGTGGGTTCATTATATAAAAATAAGAGTAAACTACATAAATTGTCCTTACGGTCTATTATAAATTGGAGGTTTCATCGTTATCTTCTTTTTTCCCTTAGACCATCCCTTTAGTTTGATTTTTTCATGGTTTGGTCCATACTTGTGTTGGAGATGATTAGTATCAAGTACAAATCTAAAGGTAAGGGAAACAATCAACAAATTTACTTAAGTGCACATGCATCCTGGAATTTAGGTTTTACTAGTTATAACAACATACTTTAAAAATCAACAAAAGAAAGAACTACAAAGCTCTTTATTGCTTGATTGTGATCTAGTTATTCTAATTTCATTGATATGGATGAAGGATCCAGTGTGGCACCCCTCTAATAGAATCAGACCAACGATACCAAAAGCAAAAGGAAAAAAAAAACCCAAAACTAGGGTTTATACGAAATTCACCAACCCTTAAGAGAGAGGTTGTGAATTCGGTCAAGGAGAGAGAGATAGAGAGAGAGAAAGAGGCAGGGTATAGATGAATTTTTAGAGGGAATAAGCAGCTCTAGGGTTTACACCTACAATCTATTTATAGGATGAAGATAATATCCTAAAAGGATTCAAACTCTAGGGTTAATCCTCAGGGATATATCAAAACCGTCCACTCCATAGGCTCTAGAGGCTTCTGGAATATTCTAATTAATCCCTTTAATTAATTAATATTCAAATTCTTTAATTAATTAAAACCTTTTAATTAATTACCAAAATAATTTCTAATTAATTTATTCATTCCTTAATAAATTAACAACTTATTTATCTCTATTTTCTTATGATATTTGGATCATGAGGCCAACCCAATGAGACCCTGTTATTATAAGAAAGATTACCAAAATAATTAATGACCTTGGATACTATTTTCAATAGTCTCCCACTTAGAAAAGTCGTTAACTTTTCAGGATCATAAAATTTCACTAACAATCAACAGAGAGTAGTCATCAAATGTAACTGCCAAACTCAGATTGGAATTCGGTCCTTAAGACAAGTGATCAAATTTGTTCTAGATATCTCTATGAACACGAGCCATGGATATGGGTCAATCTCAATGTTCAACATTCTGTTTCCCGATTAATGATGTTTGACATTACAGCTGACTACTAAATAGAACATATCAACTTAGTCAAGGCCCGGTCAAGCACGTCAGATGTTATCACCAAATCATAGAGGAGCCCATAGATATCGCTTCCCAGTTACGAGAATGAACAAGCGTTGACTACATAATTTGTGCCCACTCATCTAATCATACATAATATACCCTTTATGACTACCAGTTAGGGATAACGTCGGAGCACACCAATGCACAACTGATTTTGCAAACAAAATGTATCTTAGATTGAAGAACAAAAGATATTGTTATCCTAGAAATACTTGTGACTAAATCCATGAAGTAATCTCAAAGTGAGGGTTTTTCCAATATCATGCTTGCAACCTTGCACACTTCCACTTTAAGCTTTCACGTTTCTAGTATCCTTCGGGAGTTGGGGTTCCACAGTTTCTAGATTTCATTCTTGATATTCTCCGTTCTCCGAAGGCATGGAAACACCAATTTCCAGCTTTCCAACTTACAACTTTACATACTTCGTTAGTTTGTTGTTCATTCCATTCTCATTAGAAGGGAAGCACCGAAGACACAACAAAAACATGTACGTTCTGATTTCTAATTGCTCACCCCATCACCCCATAACATATGTTGAAATCAATAAGGAAGAATGAAAGTGCTCCTGATATGTGAACGTTATCGATACAAAATGAAAGTGCAAATAAGGAAAAATGAAAGTGCTACTAATGGGCTCGACTCAATTGAACTTAAAAATGTCAAACCATGAAACCAAACCGGAGTCAAACTGTTAGTAATGGTTCGATTGTGGTTCGGTTTTAATTTTCAATGGTTCGCTTCGGTTTTCAGTTGACAACAATCGTTACTAACGGTTTGACTTCGGCTTGACCTAAAAACCAAAAAACCGGACCGTAAACACCTCTAATGGGGCCAATCTTATTTCTATAATAAAATAAATAATAAATAAATAACAAAAAAGGTAAAAAGATTAGACGCATATTTGTCTTTCTCATTTGGCTTGGGACTAAAATTGCAACAAAACAAAACTATAAGGAATTATTATGGTGAAAAAAAAATTGAGACTAAAATGCAAATTTTCCCAAACAATATTTATTAATTTTCTCTTAAAATAATAAATATAATTTATTCAATATTAAATAACGATAAAGGAAATAAGGAAAATATAGTCTTTTTATTGGACTATGGAAAAAATTATGGTTTTGAATAACGTTAGTGCGACTTGGCGACAATATCAACCTTCAAGGTTTTACGAGCCATGACAAGCCTTGTCGTTTAAGGCGTGATTTAAAACGATAATTTTGTTTATATATATATATATATATATATATATATATATATATATATATATATATATATATATATATATATATATATATATATCACTTAGGTCGACACTTAATGCCATTTACAAACTTTAAAGTTGTTATAGTGAGCTTTTTACAACTTTGACAAAAACCAAAACTGATAATTATGGAAACAACATGGATTTACTATCAACTTTTCAAAAAATGGATTAAAAATACAAATTTGACCAATCTAATAAACTGTTTTTATTTATGTAGTTTACTCTTTCATTTCTACATGATTAAAGGGTGTGTGGCAATTTTTTTTTATTAGTTATTAGCTTATAGCCAGGAGCGGCTCGACCAGATTTGAGGTTCTAAGCGAACCAAAAACTTGGGGCCCTTTGATTCCAACCCTGGTTCTATATTCTGTAATAAAAAGAAATATAAAAGTGAATATTATCTTTTTTTTTTCTGTTTAAACTTGCAGTGTTTTAATTAAAAAGAGAACTCAAATTTACAGGATTATTTTAACTCAAAAAATGCACAACTCAACACAAAAATCAATGAACAAGCCAGTAGCCACATACATAGATCTCGATCAATAGACAATAACCAACATTCCTTAGACTGCTCATAACACGAGAAACATTTTTCCTATTTGACTTGCATACCCAAATATTTCTATTTAATATGCTAAGAAAAGAAACATTTCATATAAAACATAAGTTATACTCAATACGTGAATCAAATCGAATACCTTGACAAATGCGGTAAACACAAATTCACAAAAACACAATTCGCAAGATGTAAACAAATTAAGGTTTACCGGTTTAGTTTATCAAATCATATAAATCATGTAATACCTTGACAAGAAGTAAACAAATTAAGATTCAGTTTACCAGCAACACAAAAAATGAGTGTGAACACTAACTAAAAAAAAATCAAAAATCAAACAACAACAAAGAAATCGAGAATAAAAGGTATCAAGTGAAAACAGATAATGGGAAAACCAACTATTAACGCTAAAAGATAATCAGATAATGGAAAAATCAAGTGAAAAAACACAGCACATACCTTAATCATTAGAGAAATTCATCAGTCTTCATAGTAGCCGAGAATTGAGGAGAAAGAAGAATAGTAGCTATTTCAACGGTTCAACATTTCTTTCAGTGTTTAACAGTTCAAGAATCGAGATTGGAGAAGCCTACTAGAATCGAGAACGGGGAATCAGTCAATCAGATATTTCAGAGTGTGACTCCGCGAGAATGGAGAAAGAAGGAATAAGTGTGATCGTAGCTTTTGATTTGACGCGTATGCGTATCAGCAAATGCAGAAGCCGAGAAGAGAAATATGTAATCGACATTTGAGAATTTGGGTTAAGTGGGGCCCCATAAAAAAATTAGGTCCTAAGTCTTAACATATATTTTTAATACATCAGGCCGACCCTGCTTATAGCTTATTTGCTTATAGCTTATTAGCTTATTGGCGTATAAGCTAATAATTTAGGGAGTTAACTAAAAAAAAATTATTAGAGACTTGTTACCTTTATAAACTATTTTTATCCAAATATTTTTTTAACATGTCAAACTATTAACAAACTAATAAATAAATAATGGATATTTTGTCTCTTTCGTATGTAACATTCCGGTCTTGACATGTTGTCGGTATCTTTTTTATTTAATATTCAAATAAAAGAGGAAAGACAAAATAAAAAACACACTAGTGTAGAAATAAAGAGTCGATTTAATAGAACTCATTATATATTTAGAAATTCTTTTGATTAAGTCGTAATTAAAATATTGTTTATTAAAGACCGTTCAAGAACTTAAATAAACTAATGTAAATTTAGGAAAACTTAAAACTAGAGAACAAACCAAACATAATGTTTGCAATACCGCTAAGCAAATTTTATTGTCATCGAAGACTTTGACTTCCAGTATTGAAAGACTTGCAAATGGTTATATATATATATATATATATATATATATATATATTATATATATATATATATATATATATATATATATATATATATATAGGTTCATTTGTTTAAAGTAAGTATTATGTTATTGTATACATAAATGTGAGCCAATCAAAATTAAACAAAAAATTAAATAATTAAATAAATAAATAAGGGTAATTTAGTAATTTGTTTAGTAACTTCCAAAATTAATCCCTATAATCATGGTATTGACCTAATCTCTCCAATTTAAATCTCGTTTCCGATCTGCAAAATTAGAATGGACTACAAAATCCATCACTCAGCCGGTGAGGGAAAAGGGAGGGCGGTGATTGCAGATTACGAGGAGGGAGTAGTCTCCGGGTCGACGAGGCCAAAGGGAAAAGGCTGTGAAGAAGTCGAGGTCTTCGTCTTCAGTTGATCGGGGAAGAAACCAAATTAAAGATGCAAACCGAGGTGGGGTATCGGAGTTGGCGAAGCAGCTCCGCCGAGGGAGGGATAGCCGGCAGGAAGGGCTGCGTCGGCGATCTCTTTTCTTTTCTGGTTCGATCGGTATCCACTCACGAAGGGGGAGAAAGGACTTCGGTCCTCTGTCTTTGTCTGCTCGAGAAGAGGAACTTGGTGGGAAGCAGTCACAAGGGTGGTTCTGTGGTGCTCGTGGATCGCTGCTTCTTCTTCTCCGGTGAACTGTGCCAACAGGTAAAAGAAAATTCTTTTTCTTCTTTTTGTTTTTGTTTGATTGCTTGATAGAAATCAAAGGAAAGAATTTGTGTTTAGGTTTTCCTGGAAAAATTGATGATAATGAAAGGGATATGGGTTTGATTGTTTGAACATAACTCATGGTTTGTTTGGGTTTTGGTATTTGACAGGGGAATTCATGGGTGTTTGTTTCTTGTGTTCTTGACTGGGAACGAATGCAGATGTGTGTTGACGATTCAATCACAGCTTTTTTTTAAGGAATGAATGAGTTTGAGTGTTAATCTTGGTTGAGTGTTCAGTAGATAGGAAGGACAAACAGATGAAATGTTTGAGTGTGGTTTTTGTTTAGAATTAAACTTGGTATCACAAATTTTTCCTCATGATCTGCTGGAATCACAAATTCCAATTCTGTTGGAATCACAAATTCCAAATAGTTATCAATTCTGTTGGAATGGAATGACGAATTCCAATTTTGTTGGAATCACAGAAGTTGATGCTTGAAGAACGGACCACAAAATTGAAAGTGATTCTAATCAACATTATTCTTTTAGAATGTATTAGTGTCGTTGTTACATTTTGATGTTTTCTTAAGCGTTTTGAAAGTTTTTGTAGTTTTATTCTTTAACAATAAATGTAATTCTTAACAATTGTTACTCGTATTCTATAAGAAATAATGTATTTTTTGTTTTTATTATTCAATTGATTGTTCAAGAATTTGTTATTCTACAAGAAGTTCATTAAATCAAAATATATATTATGTCAGAATGTGTAATTCTTGTATGGTTCAACCATATTTGTTATTTTTCAATATATTGATAAACATATTCCGTCAGAATTTTCGAATTAGGAGAATTATCATCCATACAATCCGATTTTTAAAATTAATAGAATCTATTTTCCTTAAAATATGTAATTTTCCTTTTTTTAAATTTATGTTAATTGACTAAAATACCCTTAGAATGAAATTAGTTGGTATTTTTTAATTATATTTAATTTAATAATATGTATTATTCACTTTCCAAAATTAAGTAAAATGAATGGTCCATAATTATGCATACAATAACACAATACTTAGTTTGAATAGAATAACCTAAGCCTATATATATATATATATATATATATATATATATATATATATATATATATATATATATATATATATATATATATAGGAGGGTTCAATTGAGAAAAAAAAAGTTGAGAATGGGGGAATCATTCTCAGCTACACATTTATTTTGCCGCAAAACACGTAGGCGTACCATCGGAAATTGATAAGGAATAGATATATGTTTCCAACAAAAAATGTTTCCTTAAACTATGCTAATCATTACCTTAATATATACAAAAACATAGTTTTTTCGTTTTTTTAATTTTTAAGAAGCTATTTTTATCAAAAAATGATTTTAAATATATACCAAATTCATGATTTTTTATTCTCTACAAATAGACGTCCATATTTATATACTTTTAAGATAAAATAATTTTTTTTATATTTTCAGCTATCGTTATTCATAAGTGAATAATAATGCATCAAATTTTTGCTACAGTACATTCGTTATTCACTTATGAATAAAAATATATAATTAATTTTTTTTACAGTTTAAGTATCATTTATACTACTTATTCATATATGAATAACAAATTAACTGTAACAAAAATCTGATAAATGTTTTATTCATATATGAATATAAAATATGATGACAACTAATACACGTTTTATTCACATATAAATATAATATATGACGAAAGATGATGTAAAAATATATTTTAACTAAGAAAACTTTATTACGTGTCGTATTCATATATGAACGATACTTATTCATATATGAACGATACTTAAACTATAAAAGAAAAAGTTAAGCATGCGTTTTATTCATAAGAGAATAACGAATGTACTGTCATAAAAATCTGATAGATTTTTATTCACTTATGAATAACGAGAGCTGAAACTCTATAAAAATAAATTTTTTATTTTATCCCCCATTCTCAATTGAACTTACCTCTCTCTCTCTCTCTCTCTCTCTCTCTCTTCCTATATATATATATATATATATATATATATATATTATATATATATAGTCCGGTTCCGGTGAGTACTCTAAAAATGGTGAGAACTATGAGGTAAATCATCACCACCCATTTAGTCAATGACACAAACATCAAACCTAAATACTTGGCCGTGGTGTGTTCACACGCGACCCACGTTCATGGTAACTAATACGGACTCAAGGATTTAATCACGTGCGTCGAACGTCAATGGAACATCATTTAAGTGAGTTTTATTATTTATTTTCGTTTATTTTGGTTTATTTTCGTCAACTACAAATAGAGTTGATTGAACTGATTTGGAACCGATTTCGAGATTAAAAAATAAAGATTAATATTGTAATACTATTTATAATTTTGTAACGTTTTAGAATCTAAATATTCAAAAAAGTAAAGTAAATTTAATATTTATTATCATTTTGTTTTATATTTCAAAAATATTATTTAATTATAAAAGATTAATTTTTTTGTTATTTATTGTTGAGTAATTATTAATGTTTAATATCTAAGATATGTGACAACTGAGGATAGTACGTCACCGACCGCCGTTAAAAATTAATATAAATGAGCAAATCTAATAAGACATGAATGTAATATGTACAATATATATTAATAAATAATTAAATATATGTAATTATGTCCTTACATCGTCATAAAAATATGAGTCGTTAGACCAAGAGGCTAGAAAATAAGAGCGTGAAAAGTCGTGCCAACATATTAACGTTTTTTTACATATTCGGAAAGTACACGACGACACGATTCCAATTTTATAAAATTCATGAAAATTCGACTTCGGCTAAATGAGATATGAATTTTATAAAATATAAAGATCAACCGCGCATAAAAAGTTACAACATAAAAAGATTTCGATGAGATCGGTTGATTTTTAGCTAAGGTCATAAAAAGAAAAATCGTAGTATTCGTTAAAATAAGATTTTTGAGAAAAAAATCACCAAAAACGGAATCTATATGGGGAAGTTATGATTTTACTAAAATCAATTTAGTATATCCCTACCTTCCAAATCTAAGGGCTAAAGATAAAAGTTGGAATTAGCGAAAATGACCAAAAGGAAAGTTGTAGTGCATATCGATATGTACAACTGGATATAATGAACGTTGAAATCGGAGCTCATATGAAAGAGTTACAGAATTTAGAAAATCAATTTCGTCTGGACGTATGGAAGGCGCACAATGTGCAGCGCGCGCTCAAAGGCGAGATTCTCTGAGATACGAGTGATGTGGCCCACCAGAAAAAAGACACGTGTCAGCGCCCGATTGAGCCACCGTGCACATGCATGGCGTGCAACCAAGAAATGAGCAGCACGCGCCCCAAAATCAGGCTATAAATAGAGGGCTCAACAGACCCCATTTTGCAACATCTCATTGTAACACTCGTGTTCCCATGTATTTTCTTTTATGGCTTAAAATACAAAAAGTTTGCATTTTGGTCCTTACGCGGGGCATACTTTATGGGCATGCCTAGCGTAATTCATTAAAAGTTGACGGGGCTCTTTTGAGTATGCAAGGCTTACATAAGAGGTACGTCGGGAATACTCATGCAAATTCCAAACCCTACGTGGACCCTTTTTTAAAAGACCTTAAGCCCCTTGAGGCCTCCCATATGCTTAGCCTCTATTCCCTCTTTGTGGATAACATAGAAATAGGGGATGGTCTAGCATTTTTTCCATTTCTGTATTTCTTTTTTTATCGGAAATGTTTTTATTTTTTCATCTGATTTAGTCATTTTTATGTTCCAAATAGATTATAATATTTTTTATATATTTTTTGATTTCGTACTTTAATGCTTTTATTTCTCTAGAGCTTGTTTTGGACTTTTAAAGTGTTCTTGGAGGATTGTGGAAGAAGGAGAAGTACACCATTGAGGATTGTTGGGTTTGGAGCTTGTAGATCAAGAGTTTCCTTCAGCTTTGCAAGCTTATGGAGGTACCCTTTATGATTCTTTTGTATAGATCTAGGTTAGTTTGGAGATTTGCATGATTTTGGTCCCATAGTTTTGGTTCTTATGAGTAAAAGCTACTCCAGTGCTTAGGATTAGCATTTCTTGGTGTTTCTGAGGTTCTTATGTCATAAAAATTGGATCTTGAGGGTTGTATTCCTCCCATTCATGAATTGTTGGTCATTTTGTGAAGTTATGGAGTTAGGGTTTGATTTTGGGCTCTTTTAAACCATACAAAATCTTAAAGTTGTCAATTTTATCTGTTAAGACCTTCTCAAGATGTACATCTGTGAATTAGACGTTTGGAATTTAGGTATTAAGAGCTTAGAGGTGCTTTTGGACAACAGACGGTTACGTAGGACGTAACCTCTGTGTATGCATGGCGTAACATGTTGACCCCATATGCCTTTTCTGTGGACACTGAATATGCCTGGTGTAATGCAGGAGTACGTATGGCGTACTCCCAGAAGTCCAGTTCGGCCATTTTGGGCCTTGGGCCATGTTTGGTTGGGTCCAATATGGGAAGGGTAAAATGTTCTTTTACCCTTAGTAAGAGAGATTATGTTTTGGACCTTGGTTATGGATTATTACCCTAAATAGTAATTAGGGTTGGTTTGGATGTGTTTAGTGTGAGGAGCCTTTGTACCAGCAGTGTGTGTATGATTCGAATATCTTCAGTTTGAGGTGAGTCTCCTCACAGTATTTGCGGGTCGAAGGAACCAATGTCAGCCCATTGATTTATGTTTACATGATTATAGCTGTCTGTGTGACTTTTGCATGTATTGTATGTGTTTGTATGTATACCGGGGCGGGGCCTGATGAATGTGCTGGGCGGGGCCCATCACATCTTACTGACAGATCTATATTGGGCAGGGCCCATTATATGTATGGTATGTGGTATTTTTGGGAACTCACTAAGCTTTGTGCTTACAGTTTATGATGAAATGTTTTTCAGGTAGTTCCGGTTCAAAAGGGAAGGGCCTTACATGATCACATCGCATCCATCGGTGTTAACCATTTTATGATTTTAGGATTGTACTCTTGTAACTATTTTCCACATTGTCATATTTTGGTGGTTTGAAATGAATGATTAATTGTTTTTGGTTGACTTAAAAATAAATTGTTTTACTTAGTATCTTTGGGATGTTACAAGTTGGTATTAGAGCCTTGGTTTGAGGGATTCGGGCACACTCTCGGGTGTGTCTGAACACAAACTGAGGAATTGGTAAAAAGAAAAAGATTTTTCTAAAATGG